GATAGAGACTTGGGCCTTCCTTTTTTTCTATAGGCACAATGTCTCTGGTTTAATTCCTAGGTCCTTGATCCACTTTGATTTGAGGTTTGTGCATGGTGAGAGATAGAGGTTTAATTTCATTTTGTTACATATGGATTTCCAATTTTCCCAGCACCATTTGTTGAAGAGTCTATCTTTTTTCCAATGTAGATTTTTGGTGCCTTTGTCAAATATAAGATAACTGTAGTTATATGGGTTAGACTCTGTGTCCTCTATTCTGTACCACTGGTCTACAGGTCTGTTTTGAAACCAATACCATGCTGTTTAGTTACTATTGCTCTGTAGTATAGTTTAAGGTCTAGAATAGTAATGTCACCAGCTTCACTCTTCTTATTAAGGATTGCTTTGACTGTTCTGGGTCTCTTATTTTTTCAGATGAATTTCATGATTGCTTTTTCTATTTCTAAAGGAATGCCTTTGGGATTTTGATTGGGATTGCATTGAATCTATATAGTGCTTTTAGTAGTATGGTCATTTTGACAATATTAATTCTTCCTATCCAAGAACAAGGTAGATCTTTCCATCTTCTAAGGTCTTCCTTAATTTCTTTCTTTAGCGTGTTGTAGTTTTCATTGTAGAGGTCTTTCACCTCTTTTGTTAAGTTTATTCCTAAGTATTTTAGGTTTTTTTTTTTTTTGAGGCTATTGTAAATGGGTGGTTTTCCTAGTTTCCCTTTCAGCAGATTTGTCACTGATGTACAGAAATGCCTTTGATTTATGGGTGTTGATTTTATATCAAGCTACTTTGCTGAATTCATCAATTCAATTCATTTCCTGAATGCTAGGAGATTTCTGATGGAATGTTTTGGGTCTTATAGGTATAGAATCATATCGTCTGCAAATAGTGATAATTTGAGTTCTTCTTTTCCTATCCGTATCCCTTTAATTTCTTTCGTCTGTCTGATTACTCTGACTAGAGGCTCAAGAACTATGTTAAATAGAAGTGGTGGCAGAGGGCATCTCTGTCTTGTTCCAGTTTTTAGAGGGAATGCTTTTAATTTTTCTCCATTTAAAATGATTTTGGCCTGGGGCTTAGCATAGATAGCCTTTACAATGTTGAGGTATGTTTCTGTTATCCAAAGTTTTTCTAGCATTTTGTACATGAAGGGATGCTGTATTTTATTAAATGCTTTCTCAGCATCTATTGAGATGATTATATGATTTTTATATGTTATATTGGTGTACTCATTTACCTCTAAGAATTTTTTAATCTCCTCCTTGATGTCTTTTGCAACCCATTGTTCATTCAGTAGCATATTATTTAATCTCCAGGTGTTGGAGTAGCTTTTATTTTTTATTTTATCATTGATTTCTAATTTAATTCCATTGTGGTCTAATAGAATCAGGGTAGTATCTCTACTTTTTTGTATTTACTAAGATTTGTTTTGTGGCATAACATATGGTTTGTTTTAGAGAAGGATGCATGTGCTGCTGAGAAGAAAGTATATTCACTCCTTGATGGATAATATACTGTATATATGTCAGTTAAGTCTAAATTATTGATTGTATTATTGAGTTCTGTAGTTTCTTTGTTTAGCTTTTGTTGAGAAGATCTATTTAGTGGTGAGGAGGTGTGTTAAGTCACCCAGAATTATTGTGTTGTGATCTATTTGACTCATAAACTTGACAAGAGTTTGATGAACGTAGGTGCTCCATTGTTTGGGCATAAATGTTTGTAACTGTTATGTCTTGTTGATGTTGTTCCCTTAAGCAGTATGAAGTGTCCATCTTTATCCCTATTCATTAACTTTGGCTTGAAGTCTACTTTATTTGATATGAGGATGGAAACCTCTGCTTGCTTATGTAGACCATGTGAATGATATATTTTATCCCAACCTTTCACCTTCAGTCTGTGGGTGTCCTTTCCTATGAGATGAGTCTCTTGAAGGCAACATATTATTGGGTCTTTTTTTAAAAAAAAAAATCCAATCTATCAGCCTATGTCTTTTTTTTTAATTTTTTATTGTTGGTTGTTCAAAACATTACAAATTTCTTGACATATCATATTCCACACTTTGATTCAAGTGGGTTATGAACTCCCACCTTCACCCCATACACAGCCTATGTCTTTTGATTGGTGAGTTTAAGCCATTAACATTTAGGGTTATTATTGAGATATGATTTGTATTACTGGTCATTTTTGTTTATTTTTTGTATTTAGCTTGACTTGGTTTCTCTTTTGGTTGGCTTTTCTTTTATTGTAGTTCTTCCCTTTGCAGATTTTTATTGTTGTTTTTCATTTCCTCCTCATGGAATATTTTGCCAAGAATGTTCTGTAGTGCAGGTTTTCTTGCTGTAAATTCTTTTATCTTTTGTTTATCATGAAAGGTTTTTATTTCATCATTTAATTTGAAGCTTAATTTTGTTGGATATGATTCTCGGTTGGCATACATTATCTTTTAGAGTTTGGTATATGTTGTTCCAGGATCTCCTACCTTTGAGAGTCTGGGTTGCAAAATCTGCTGAGATCTAAATTGGTCTTCCCTTATAGGTAATCTGATTTTTCTCTCTTGCGGCCTTTAAAATTCTATCCTTATTCTGTATGCTAGGCATTTTTATTATAATGTGTCTTGGTATAGATCTGTTGTAATTTTGTACATTTGGTATCCCATAGGCCTCTTATATTTGATTTTACAATTCATTTTTTATGCTTGGGAAATTTTCAGATATTATTTCATTGAAGAGATTGTACATTCCTTTGGTTTGAATCTCTGAACATTCCTCTATCCCAATAAATCTTTTGATGGGGTTGCCTACCTATCCCATAATTCTTGGATAATCTGTTCATGGTTTCTTACCATCTTCACTGTGAGGTCAACTTTATTTTCAAGATTGTATATTTTGTCTTTGTTGTCTGAGGTTCTGTTTTCCAAGTGGTCTAGTCTGTTGGTGATGCTATCTATTGAGTTTTTTAATTGGCTTATTGTTTCTTTCATCTCAAGGATTTCTGTTTAGTTTGTTTGTTTGTTGTTTTTTTTTTTTTTCAGTATGTCTGTCTCTTTCTTGAAGTAATCTCTTGCAACCTGTATTTGGTCTCTTATCTCTTTGTTGGTTTGATCCATGGTTGCCTGAATTTGTTCTCTTATCTCTTTGTTGGAGTGATTGATTTTTGCCTGTATCTGGTTACTTAGGTTGTTCTTTAGTACCCAAATCATTTTAGTTATGTATATTCTGAACTTCTCCTCTGACATTTCACTTACTGCACTCACTACCTATGGATTCTCTTGTTGTAGTGTCTTGGTTTGGGGCACTTTCCTCCCTTGTTTTTTCATGGTCTCTGTGTGACTTCCTCTCTTGCAGTGTAGATATGAAGTATTACAGCTTCTGCCCTATTGTCTTACAGTGTCCCTATAGGTTACCAATACCTCACTTTTAAGGAAGAGATCAATATTTCAGCACTCAATGTACCCAACATATAGCTATATATCAGTTAGCTTCTATTTTTACATTTACAGTTTTGTCACTATAATTGGAAATGATGAGTTCAGTTATCTTCAACCATATGGTCAATAGATTTGCGTAATGGTTTACAGTTTCTGATGGTGGAAGTGGGGACTGGAGGGTTGGCTGAAATGTTTATGAGGTAGGATGTGAGAATATAGAGATATGAGATTATATGACTAGTGAGAGGAAATCATAGGAAGTTGGCTGTTAGTAGGAGAAACAAAAGGTAGGCAACCCCATGCAAGACTCCCTGTTACCTCAGCAACAGGACAACTGTTATCACCCCTAGTAGAGAAACCTCTGGCGCAGCCAGGCCACAGGGACCTTGGTGACATGTTACCAGGTCCTTATTTTTGTCCCTTGATAGAAGAGGTGGTATCCCAGTTTCATGGTGGTGGCAGCCTCAGGCCTATGTGTATCCTGATGTTGTGTTGTGGAGACATGCTTTGGTCAATAAGGAACCCCAGCGTGGGTTAGCTCTGCCTCTAGAACTCTGGGCCGCGGTGGTGTGAGGCAAGCATGCTCTACCTCCCCAGCAGCATAGTTTATGAGTTTCCTTGTTGGTTATTCTTCTAGGAAGGATTTACAAGAGTTTACTCTTTGGAATGAATTCATTTTAGTACAAATATGAAGTAGGCTATAAGACTCTAGGAATTACTGTCCACCCACCCAACCAAGGGAGAGCTTTTCAGAGCACAGTTTCTGATTATGTTTCTCTTTTTTCAGTGGCTCCTTTTCCTGCAGAATAAAATCTAAATGCCTAGCATTTAGTAATGTTTGCAATCTACCTTTAATCTTCCTTTCTTCCTCTGCTCCCACAATTAAAAAAAAAGGTTTTTTTGTGTGGAATATTAAATCTAGGGATACTCTACCACTAAGCTACATCTCCAACCTTTTATATTTTTTATTTTGCAACAAGGTTTCACTAAGTTGCCCAGGCTGAACTTGAACTTGTAACCTTCCTGCCTCAGCCCCTGGAGTCAATGGGATTACAGGTCCTAGTGTGTACTACCATGCCTGGCTCATGCATGAATCTTTATGACTTGCTCACCTTTCTACCTGAGGAGATTCTATCTATCCTTCAAGACCCAACATAAATGAGACCTCCTCTAGGAAGGCTTCCCAGATACCACCAATCAGTATTAGTAATTCTCACCTCTGTTTTTTCTAGACCTAAGTTCAATGAGTGATTTTTGCCTTTATACTCTTCTGATAGCCCTGTGAAATAAGGAGATCCAAATTTTTTTTTATATCACTTCAACAACATCAACTGTCTCTGCTACAAAAATAATTAGGACCCTTGTTATTCCTGCCCCAAGGAGCTCATGGCCTTGTAAATGCCCCCAGCGGGTGGTAGGGACCGTGGTAGAGAGGCATGCATGGGAACCAGAGGCAGGGCCCACTGTGTTTGGGGGAATGTGTGGTGAACATCGTTTATTTACCTTCATCTCTAGCACTCACGTTATCCTTCCTCAGCCTCTGTCCCTCACTGACCAGATTGTTTTCCCCTTTGGCTAGTCAGTTGCAGGGCTGGGACATATTATGATGGAGCACAAGAACGCTGCATTTTATGTCCAAATGGAACCTTCCAAAATGAGGAAGGACAGATCACTTGTCAACCATGCCCAAGACCAGAAAATCTTGGGTCCTTAAAGACCCCAGAAGCTTGGAATGTGTCTGAATGTGGAGGTAAGGATGCTGTCTGTCTCTTCTTACTCCTCCAGTTTCCAATGTCATTATCTAAACTAAGGCACAGTGGCATCTCAAGGATTTTGGATGACGAACACTGGACCTTAGGCTTCCTATGAGTAAGGACTATGTTGGGTTGGTTTGGTTCTCCAGTGCTTGGGTCAGAACCTGATGCTGTGCCAATGCTCACATGAGCAAGTGAATGAAGATGGCATAGAATACACTGGTAGAAAATCATCAATGTTGCAATTGTTTGCTTTATTCACCCTAAATACATGTACCTGAGATCCAAGTAGTTCCAGTTCATAAGGAATGTTTGAAAGTGTTCAAGTGGAGAAGACTTTTTTTCCAGCTTTGATCTCAAATTCAGAGATTTTTTAAAAAAAAAATGTTGTTGTTGTTGATGTACTTTTATTTTACTTGTGTATTTATATGCTGTGCTGTGAGTCTAACCCATTGCCTCACACATGCTAGGCAAGGGCTAAGCTATGACCCCAACCCTCAGGGTTTTTTAATTTAAAACAAATATATCCTTCTGGTTGTTTTGCTAAAACTGGAAGCTCCTTTCTGAAAAGTTTTAAATCATCTCTTACAAAATGTTAACTTTGAAGCCAAGCTTGGTTAGTTTCTGTGATCTACTTTCCCATTTATTTTATTATTAAACATCTTCCTTTTGTTAAATGGGAGGAAGGCTGGCTATATGGACCTGTGTAGGCTCCAGTGGAAGATGTGATCTGGATGGTGGTTTCTAACTGACAGACCCAGCAGAGTGCAGGGGCCCCTGTAATGCCTTGTGGTTCTCCATCCAGTGACTCCCAGATACAGCATTAGTTCCCATCCAAATGACTCCAAACTCAACTACAGGGATGTTTCTTTTCTTTTCTTTTCTCTCTCTCCTCCCTCCCTCCCTCCCTCCCTCCCTTCCTTCCTTCCTCCCTCCCTCCCTCCCTCCCTCCCTCCCTCCCTCCCTCCCTCCCTCCCTCCCTTCCTTCCTTCCTTCCGATTGAATTCAGGGGCACTCAACCACTGAGCCACATCCCCAACCCTAGTTTGTATTTTATTTGAGACAGGGTCTCACAGAGTTGCTTAGTGCCTCATCGTTGCAGAGGCTGGATTTGACTCATGATCCTCCTATCTCAGCTTCCTGAAGTGCTGGGATTTTAGACGTGTGCCACCACTCCTCGCTACAGGGATGTTTCTGAGTTAAACATCAGATCTTTTAATTGAGTGTATGATCCCTCCCATATCTTTGATTTGTTGTGAAACTTCAGAACTAATTGCAAGGGTGATAAGAGGCAGCTTCTGGGCATCAGGTCATCCTTATATGTGACCTTATTAAGATATATTTATAAGCTAGGTATGGTGGTGCATGTCTGTAATCCCAGAAGCTCAGGAGGCTGAGGCAGGAGGATCACAAATTCAAAGCCAGCCTCAGCAACTTAGTGAGGCCCTAAGCAACTTAGCAAGACCTTATCTCAAAATTAAATATAGAAAGGCTGGGGATGAGGCTCAGTGGTTAAGCACTGACTTCAATCCCTGGTACCAAAAGAAAAAAGATACATTTATAGCAATAAGAAAAGTATTATTAATAAAAATATCTAACATCTATTGAATGCTTACCATTGCTAAGCATTATGCTAAATATATGATATGAATTATTCATGATATGGTCCTATCACAGTGATTCTTCAAGTCACTGTGTCACTTCACAAAGTCAAGAAGTGGAGGATTTGGAGTCAGAATCGAGGTCTGACAGCATCCAGACTCTTCCCTTGGTTGTGCATTTATTTATTTACTTACTTGCTTACTTTTTGGTGCTGGAGATTGAACCCAGGGCCTTGTGCATGCAAGGCAAGCACTCTACCAACTGAGCTATATCCCAAGCCCTGGTTGTACATTTTTAAAATGCTATTATATCTACAATTTATGGTTAAAAACAAAACCATTAAAATCAACAGAGGAGAAGTGATTAAGAATACAAGAGACAACAGATTTTTATAGCATCTTGCCAATGACAAACTTATTCCTAAGAAACATGTTCTTTAGGATTTTTTTTTTTTTGTGTGTGTGTGTGTGTGTATGTGTGTTAATGATTGTGTTTATTGTCCTAACCTTGGGGAAAAAAAGAGAAATCATTGCTTAAAGTAAATGCCCTTGGGTCCCTCTGTCCATGTGGACTGGATAGTTTGGATTTAGTTGACTCATTGAGGTAGGAAAGGACACACCTCAATGCAAGGAGATGTAACTTTGTAAATATAATTGGTAAGCGGGAGATTCTTCGAGTCACTGTGTCACTAAGATGTGATCCACTGGATGAGGGTGTAGTATTTCTGGGTCCAATTGCCATATTGATTCCAGAGTAAAGATATCTCCCTCTCTTTCCCTCTTTCTCTGGTGACTCCTGCTTGGGGTCCCTGGGCAGTGTGTAGGCCTAAGTCTGAGACATGCTCAGTCCTTTCCTATATTTTAGAAGCAGCTGCTGTTTGACTCTTGGTTCTCATCTTGTTGTGAAGCCCTGTGCGTAAACACCAGGCACTCACCAGTCACCTCCTTGGGGTGGCAGGGCAGGGCTGACTCTGCTTCTCTCACTCAGGTAGGCGCTGAGGTCAGCATAGGGTAACAGGCCTGACCAGAGTCAGATCTTATAGAAGAGAGGTGGGAATGGCCTGCCTAGGAGCCTTCCTTATCTAGGGCCATTGGTCCCCCCAGGTCTGTGCCAACCTGGAGAATATTCTGCGGATGGCTTTAAACCTTGCCAGCTCTGTGCCCTGGGCACATTCCAGCCTGAAGCTGGCCGAACTTCTTGCTTCCCCTGTGGAGGAGGGCTCCCCACCAAACATCTGGGAGCAACTTCCTTCCAGGACTGTGAAACCAGAGGTGAGTATTTGCTTTCCCCTAGAATTGAATTTCCTTTTTGAGTACTCTGGGAGTCTGGTGAAGGTTCCATTGAACCCAGCCCAGAGGTTCCCTGTGTGGTGCTTAATAACCAAGGGTTCAGTCCCTGTGCAGGAAGTGCTAGAACTCCCTGGACCGGGTCTCTCCACAGCCATCTTGGCTTCTTAGGACAGGGCTGACCAGGGATGGATCAGAGAGACATGAGCAGGTTTTGAACACGGGCTCCCTTGGTTCCATCCTCCAGCCCTCTTCCACCTCAGTGCCCTGGCCTAGAGCTCCCCTACCCCAGTACAGGTCCTGTCCCTTCTCCAGAACCCCACTTCCACTGTCTCTTCCCAGGGGACCAAGCCTCAGCCCAGCCTCAGTCTATATCCTTGATACCCACAACCATTGTGCCTGAAGATGTCAGCTGCCACTGACTGCAAGAGCCACACACTCTCTGAAGACATGCACAGCTTGCTCCTTCATGTTTTCTCAGTGTCACGAGTCCTACCCAAACCCACTGTTTGAGTGTTCATTAACCCCAGATTGATAGGAAAGCACTTCTTCATTTGGGCATAAAAACTTATTTCACAAACTTTGAAACCTTTCATGTTGCATTAATAAAAATACAGTCTTCTTGTTTTCATTTTCTTCACCCTTTCCTCACAGTTCAGTGTTCACCTGGACATTTCTACAACACTACCACTCACCGATGTATTCGCTGCCCAGCAGGGACATACCAGCCCGAATTCGGAAAAAATAACTGTATTTCTTGTCCAGGAAACACTACAACGGACTTTGATGGCTCCACAAACATTACCCAATGTAAAAGTAGGTCTCTCTCTAAGGCTTCTGTGGTCCTGATCAAGAGGGAAAGTGTCTGGGTCCAGCCTTAGAGGAGGGTAGGGTAAAGTGGCCAGGGTTCCCAGGTTCATTCAGAACCTTGTCTGTTTTTAGCCCAGCTCACAGCTATGCAGATAAGCACTGAGGGAAGGCGGGACTACAGTCTCCTCAGCTGTTAAAATGGAGATAATAGCTTTGACCTGGAGGTACTCTCCTTGTTTTTGTATGTGAGGTGCTGGAGATTGAACCCTTACCCTTGTGCATGCTAAGCACACACTCTGCCACTAAGCTCCACCACAGCCCCTACTTACCTCTGCTGACCCTGGATGCTTCCCCAGGCACACTCACAGCTGGATTTGCCCTGATTCCCCCCAACCCAGGGCATAGTTTCAGTGGGTCCTGCCCAGCATGCACTGTTCAAGGGTGTGTTGTGTGCCAGGCATCCTGCTGAATAAATCAGCTGGGCCAGCCCTGCCAGGAGCCAGGCTGTGTGTCTGCAAAGGAAGGAGCAACCCACTAGTCTGGAGAGATGAGGCAAGGTCTCTGGAGGGTATGGAAGGTTTTGATGGAGATAGTGGACAGAGCAGGAAAGAGCATCTTACTGAAGAGCCACTGAGGAGAAGCACAGACCCAGGAAAGTGAAAAGGCCTCTGGAAAGAGACCCTGGGCCTGAGCACAGAAGAGTTGGCACACCAAGTGTGCCTAGTTAAGGAGCTTAACTTGTATTTTACAGCAGTGAGGGGGCAAACATTTAAGGACTTGCTGCGTCAGATTTTCCTCCTCGCCACCTTAATCATTACATACAATTCTCTAGTAAAGGCCAAAAGTTAAGCTCAACTAATGTTGTATCTTTTTTTTAATATATTTTTTTAGTTGTAGGTGGACACATACCTTTGTTTTATTTTTATGTGATGCTGAGGATTAAACCCAGTGCCTCACATGTGCCAGGAGAGCGCTCTACCACTGAGCTACAGCCCCAGCCCCCTAGTGTTGTATCTTTAAGATAGCAATTGAGGGGAGCAAGGAGGACTCCCCAGAATAGAGTAATTTGGGATGGAGAAGGGCAGTGAAACATTTGAATTTTTGGGGTACTGAGGATTGAACTCAGGGGCACTCAGCCACCGGAGCCACATCCCCAGCCCTATTTTGTATTTTATTTAGAGACAGGGTCTCAATGAGTTGTTTAGCTCCTCACTTTTGCTGAGATTGGCTTTGAACTCACTATTCTCCCATCTCAGCCTCCCAAATCACTGGGATTACAAGTGTGCACCACTCCACCCAGCTGAAGTTCTTTTAACATCTTTATAAGCAGCCATCAAGGTTCCTCTTAAATACCTGCTGCCACAGGAAGCTCACTCTCTTTCATGATCTTCTAGCCTATTGGTAAATGAGACTTTGGCAAAGTTCACAGAGTTAGGAAATTTCCTTATCTTCCCACTCCCTGGCCTTTGTTGGCCCTTAGGACCACGTGACACAGTTCCTCAGGTAGCCATTCAAGCCTGAAGGCTGTGTTTTTCCTAATAATAACAACTCTCTATTATAATTAGAGAAGAAGAAAGTAATCCCTTCTCTCTCTCTCTCTCTCTCTCTCTCTCTCTCTCTCTCTCTCTCTCTCTTTCCCTCCCTCCTTCCCTCTCCCTCCCCCCCCACCCCCTTAGTACTGGAGATTGAACTACTGAGCTATATCCATAGCCCTTTTTATTTTTATTTTGACTCAGGGTTTTGCTACGTTACTGAGAACCTTACTAAGTGGCTGAGTCGGGCTTTGAACTTGTGATCCTCCTGCCTAAGCCTCCCAAGTCACTGGAATTACAGATGTGTGCCACTGTGCTCAGCTCCCTTCAATATTGCTCAGATTTACCTGGCAATAGTAAACACTAACCTCTTTGAGGGCAAAGACTAGATCCCTCTCAGTCCTGAACTCCCAGAGCTTTGGGTGACATGTGTTAGACAGTGGGGATTTGGTGAATAAAGACAAGGGTGGTGGGGGGGGAGGGTGTGCCTGTGCACATTAGTTAGCTCTTTGTCTTCCCTACTTAGAAATAAAATGTGGTTGTAACCAGAAAGAAAAGTGAAGAAATCTGTTTTATCTTCATCAATGGCCTCAGTCAAATGTTCTTTATTGAGCAATGAGCTCTGTTCTCCCTACTTGGACAGACATAGAAGTTCTATTCCATGGGTTCCCCCTATACTTGGACTTCTAAGCAAATATTTAAAGCTAAATCTGTTCTTTTGTTCATTAACAGCTGACCTTAGCATCTTTAGGCTAATGGGAAAATGGCACCACTCCGAGGGGTGGCCCCTTTGTGAGAGTTCACAATGACTCCCAAAGGGGGCCCTAAGTCTTATTCCCAAGATGACGCCATCTCTGTGCCCCTTCCTCCATATGGTAGGGATGTGGCAGTTCTTAAGCCAGGCTAGCAGGGGCCATGAGAGATGACTGTGTTGAGCCCTTATAACTCATGGCATTTCCTTTTCCAGACAGAAGATGTGGCGGGGAGCTGGGAGATTTCACAGGATACATTGAATCCCCAAACTATCCAGGAAATTACCCAGCCAACACTGAGTGTACCTGGACCATCAACCCACCTCCCAAGCGCCGCATCTTAATTGTGGTCCCTGAGATCTTCCTACCCATAGAGGACGACTGTGGAGACTACCTGGTGATGCGGAAAACCTGTGCGTCTCACCCTCTGCTTCCCTCTCTTCCTAAGGCCAGCTGGGAAGCCTGAGGACCTGCTCCCCGGGCTTTAAATGTGAGGAGCAGGCTAGACTGTCACCCCCGTATTAGAACAGAGATGGGGTGTAAGTTTATAGAGTTGCCAAGGAATGACACATAGACTAAGGGCTGGAGATGTAGCTCATTCATAGGGCACTTACCTAGCATGTGCTAGGCCCTGGGTTTAATCCCCAGTGCCAAATTAATACTATTAATAATAATTTGACTAAAACCATACATCAAGGCCTTTTACTGAACCCCAGAGGCAGGGACCCTGCAAGTCATTCTTCTCCTCTGTATTCACTGGGATTTTTGGACCCTCTCCACTGGGACATGGAGAGGAAATGAGGCATGTGCAGTGCTGGCTCCAGACACTGCCTCACGCTGGATAGCAACTCCTGACTTGGGGAGGGACCAAGGCATGATGCAGCCAGAAGGGGCCCCTCCCTCTATCCTGACTCATGACCTAAGGTCCATAAGGGATGCCACCATCAACACAGCTTAGCAGCAGTCCTCTGAGTGGGCTTAATTCCAAATCCACCTCTTATTGGTACTATGATCTGGGCACTGCCATCTCCGTAATGATTAAAGTGGGGAAATAATAACTGCTGTCTCACAGGGTTATTAGATGGACTAAATTTGTTAAGCACTTAGAAAAATAATGGCAAGCCAGGCACAGTATCACACACCAGTATTCCCTTCTACTCAGGAGGCTCATGTGGGGGGATTGCTTGAGCCCAGGAGTTCAAGACCAGCCTTGGCAACATAGTGAGACCTCATCTCAAAAAAATAAAACCCAAAACAAAAACAAAAAAAAATCAGTAGAATAATAATAGCACATTGAGCTACTATATAAATATTTCCTATTCTTATTAATGGTTACAATGTCTGATGTCAGGTGAAGATTTGAATCCCAACCTTATCCCAGATGGGCTCTGTGGCTCTAGGTGCGTACTTACCTCTCTGTAAAAGAGTTAACAGTTGAACCCACTTTTTGTGGTTTACAGAGGATTAAATGAGAGAAAGTCCCTAAAATGGGTATTAGCACACTTCTGGGTCTTGAGAAGCATGCATCAAATGGGGGTGAGTATTATTAGATAATGGCAGCTGGGCTCTGAAATTCAAGGGCCCTCTCCCCACCTCTGCAGTGTGCCCAGCCACAGGCAGCTCAAGCCTAGCCTTCCCTGGAGGCTATTCTATTCCCAGTGCTTTACTGTTAGGATGAGTCAGCTAGACCTAAAGGGCTCTTCAGCGTACCTTGTTTTATGGTTTGAGTATTTGAAAAGATGAGGATTCATTGTCTGCCCACTCAGTGGCGTCTTAAATGACACCCTCTCCAATTTCACTCTGCAGCATCGTCCAATTCAGTGACAACCTATGAAACCTGCCAGACCTACGAACGCCCCATCGCCTTCACCTCCAGGTCAAAGAAGCTGTGGATTCAGTTTAAGTCCAATGAAGGGAACAGTGCCAGAGGGTTTCAGGTCCCATATGTGACGTATGACGGTAAGCACCGTGAAGCTCGGACAGTAGCACATGACAGAGGCGTCTCTAGTTTGAACAGAACCAATTTCTGAGCCAGCTGGTGGATTGCTGACAAGCACACATGCTCAGAAAGGCAGCCATGGTGAGGGGAAAGAACATCGCTGACTCACAAGTGCCACATTTTAAGCGGGCATTTGGGGACACTGACTACAGGGATGAAAAGATGGTTTAGAAGATCAGCTTAGTGGATCGTGGGCATTGAAGTCAGACAGCCCGGCTATTATCTCATCTGTGATTCTGTGTACCATCTCCAAGCCTTCCTTCCTTCCTTCTTTCCTCCTCCTCCTTCTCCTTGTCCTCTTTCTCCTCCTCCTCCTTTTTTTGTTGCTAGGCATTGAATTGAGTTCAATGCATGTTAAACCCACACTGTACCACTGAGCTACACTCCTAGTTGAGTCTCATTTTCTTAATGTTTGATGAGGATAATCATTAGATTTAATGTGAGAGTTCCTAAAGGACTTGGTGTAGTACCTGGCACACATAATTGCTCAATAAATACTTCTTATGATTATGGCTTTTATTGTACAGAATCCTGAAGGAGGAAAAAAGGCCTGAGTTCTGGTTCTGGCTCTGCCACTGACTTTCTTTGTGACTAGGCAAGTCAGATGATGCCTCTAGTTTCATTTTCTTCATTTTAAATGAAGGAGTGGTCCTCCTGAGCCCTGGGACCCAACTCTCTGAATAGGTTGATGAACATTTATGGAGCATAAAATGAATTATAACTTGTCCTAGAGGGCTTCATAGTCTAGAAGGGAAGAGTCATCTGTCCATTCATGAACATATTCATGCATCTACCCAACAGATATTTAATGAGCCTCTGCTAGGCTAGGAATTGGGCCAAGTACTGGAGACAATCTGGTTAATGATATGAACACAAAACTGTATATATTGTCATAGATGCTTTAACAGGGCATATACACAGCACTATGAGCACAGAAAGGACAGCAGTTATTTTGCATGGATTTTTGGAAGGAACAGAATATAGTCTGAACAGATTTGGGTCATAATAAAATATAGGGGGCATAAATGGGGAGGAAGAATATTCAGGAAGAAGGAAAGGCCAGAGGATGGCATGTGTGGGGTCTGATTTGACCAGTGAGTGGGGAGCATGGGGCTTAACAGTGAAAGGAGATGAGGTGGGAAGGGCCTTGAGGGCCAAGTTTAGGAGAGTAGACTAAATCTTATAGGGAGCCATTGGAAGTTTTTAGGTAAAATGCAAAAACTAGATGTTTAGAAAAAATAGCATTCTCTGTCTCTCTTAAAAACACTTATACATAATTTATTTCCAACATGTGACAACAGCTAGGATCATTATTCCTGTCCTGCAGTTGCCTAAAGTAATGTCAAACACCCAAGACAAGGGCTTTTAGTGTCTGACTCCTGGGGCAGACACAAATGCCTCCCACATGCCTCTGCTGAATGAGACAGAGAGCCTAGTCATCCACCTGGAAGCAGCTAATGGACAACCTGTCCTGTGGGAATTAGGAAGGAAGCAGAGCAGACGCAGGGGCTCCAGAATACATGTCACCAAGGCTCACACAATTTAGTGTAGCTGTTCTCATCTCCGTCTTTGTGACACAGAAAATATCTTGATTTTTTTTTTTAATTAAGAAAAAGAGTTGTAGCTTGAGCCAGGGCAAGTTATGCATAGTCCTGGATAGGCCCATGAGAGTGTACCAGGCATGTGTCATAGCAGAAAAGTGTCGAAAACTGCCACTTTGTCCCTCCAGAAGCCCCTCAGGTCCTTACTCAGAGTTTATATTTTAAAACTTGTATTTTTGTATCTGATTTCAAAGCCCAAAAGACTAGAAATTACAGTCAGAAGGTGCGGTTGGGGCTGCTGCAGATGAGCCTCCTGACTGCCACAGAAGGGAGAGGATTGCAGTCCTGGCAAACAGGTACTGAGCATTCCTGAGCACTAGATATGTCCTGAGGCACCTTTTAATGGTACAGTCCTCATAGTCACTCCATATATGACACATTTGTTTCCTGGTTTTACAGATGAGGCCATTCAGGTTTAGAGATTTAAGTAACTGGCTTAAGGTCACAGTATGACAGACACAGAGCTGGGATTTACCTTTGTCTTTTGGACTCCAGAGCCTGGGTTCCCACTTGCAATGCTTTTCTGCTTTTCCTAAGGCCTGGAGCAAGGAAGGAGACACACTAGCTCTTAGAAGCAGAGGACTTTTTTTTTTTTTTTTTTTTTAAACAGCAGTTTAGAAGCATTTGGTGCAGTGGCAAACCGCTGTCTAGAATATTACAACCATCTATATTCCTAGGGGTCAACTCCCATCAAGGACAGGAGCCACTCCTCTGAGGTAGAGACATTGCAGCAAGGGGATTCATGACTTAAAATTAAAAAAATAATAATAAAATAAAACTTGTACACTTGCTCATATTCAATATTCACTAACATAAAAGGAGAATGATACCACATTAGTAGAGTAGCAATGACGTTGTACATGTACCAAATTAGTAATTATATATAATATAGTGTTAATTTCCACTCACCATCTCTTGACTGAAAGGAACTTTTCAAGAGCTTCTCCCGCACAATTTCAATGATGTTCTCATAATTCGTGTGGCTTTGTAGCACATGATATGCATACAAAGAGGCATTTTTAATGTCTGGGATTTGAAAAAGATTGTGCTTTGCATATGCTTGATTTGAATTATGACTGTGGGAAAGAGACTAGACTGTAAAGATGGAGGGCTTCATTTAGAGAAGGATTATCATGTGCACTGCATTTAATGTATGTCAGGACAAAAAATTATTAGTGAAAAAATGAACAGTGCTTTCTTCCTCTCTGGCCAGCCGAATTCTTTACCCTCAGCCCCAGTCAAATAAAGGAAAGATGAATTTTGCTTATTTGATAAGAAGCTTGATTGTTTAATGCTAAACAAGGACAGAGGGAAGGGAGGTAGAGAGGGAAAGAAAAGCCCGGATGAGCTCCCCATGGAGTGCACACAGACAGAGAAGAGCAGAGCACCAAAGACTGAGCCCTGGAACCCTCCTACAATAAAAGGCCAAGGAAAGGAGTGAGCAGCCAGTGAGGTAGGAGGAAAACCAAACAGCAAAGTATTCTGGAAGCCAAGAGAAGAATTTGATCAAGGTGGAGGTGTGACCAGCAAGTCACATGCTACTGATATGTCAAAGGTTGAAGGTCACTGCTGATCTCAACCAGCAGTTTTGGAGGAGTGATGGGGGACCAAAGATGATTGGACTGGGTTTAGGAGAAGAAGAAGAGAATTGGGTACTGCGAGTATTGACCATTCTTTTGAGGGGTTTTTCAGCAAAAAGAAGCAGAGAAGTGGGGTGGAAGCTGGAGGGAGAAATGAAGTCGAGGGAGGGATTTTTTAAAGATCTGAGACATAATTGCCTGTTTGTATGCTGATCAGAAAGATCAATAGAGAATTTTTATCATGTAGGAAAGAAATCAGAGAATTACTGGCACAGATGCTCTTGATTTAGTGAGGGAAGATGGCACTGGAGTGCCAAGTGGAGGGATGGGCCTCAAGTGGACACAAAGAGGGCTCATCTGAGGGAAGAGAGGACAGGGAGACAGGGGCAGAGGTCTGTGGCCAGTGGAAGTGATGGAAATCTGTGCATGGGTGTTCTCTGATGATTGTCTTTTCAATGTCAGTGTGGAAAGTGTTCTGAGATAGCCACAGAAGGGACGCTTCTCAGAACCTTATCAAAAATGAAAGAGCACATTTGGAGATAACTAAACCATAAGAATACAAAACATGTCCTTTATTCCAACAGAAGACTACCAAGAACTCATTGAAGATATTGTTCGAGATGGCAGGCTCTACGCATCTGAGAACCACCAGGAAATACTTAAGGTGAGTACTTGTCTCTAGTGGACATGGTGTTTTTCACAGAAATCCCAAGTACAGTCTTGAAGTCTTTCCTGCCACCTCTCAGACTCGGAGACTGCCCTTGACCAATGCTCAGTTTCATAACTTCCCCAGACATGATTTTTTAAAATTTATTTTTTTGGTATAGATAGACACAACACAATGCCTTTATTTTTATGTAGTTCTGAGGATTGAACCCAGGTCCTCCCGTGCTAGGTGAGTGCTCTACTGCTGAGCCACAATCCCAGCCCCAAGACAGACATGATTTTTTTTAAAGAACAGGCTTTTATTTTCAGTGTTGTCAAGTGAAGTTGTATTTTTCAATTTGGAAATTTGTAAAGGGGCAGTTTTGAGGAAGACTTGCTTATAAATCCAAGACAGTGGTATATAGTATTTTCATATTAATTCCAAATAGTGGGGAACCTTTTTCTCCATATTTGTCCTTCATAAAGTCTACCAAATTTTGTATACTTATAAATAATTAGCAACAAACACTTGCTATATCACCAACTGTATAAGTATCCCCCAGCTCCCCATTTTACATTTCATCTAATTGAGAAAAAAAATCAGGGGTTTTTTGTATATTAAATGTTCTTTATAAAAAATAATGCATACTTATTAGAGATAATTATAAAAAATGAAAACTGAAAAGATAAAAATCGGAAGAAACAATTTTCACAAAGTGTTTTTTAGTTAATCAAGCTACTGCTTAATACTGGGTCATTATAGTTTTGTTGGCAAAATGTCAGGATGTTTAAACAATTTGGCCCAGTAACAAAAATTCTGTTCTCTTTAGGATAAGAAATTGATCAAGGCTCTGTTTGATGTCCTGGCCCATCCCCAGAACTATTTCAAGTATACAGCCCAGGAGTCCCGAGAGATGTTTCCAAGATCTTTCATCCGATTGCTACGTTCCAAAGTTTCCAGGTTTTTGAGGCCTTACAAATGACTGCCCACATGCCACAAATGTTCGGCTATGGGCTTGGTGGGATGGAGCCGTCTGTCTGCCTTCCACATAGTCGGATATTCCAGTATCAGTGACTCATTAGAGTTAAATTTTTATAGATAATACAGATATTTTGGTAAACTGAACTTGAATTTTCTTTCCCAACATTGTGGAATGGCTTTGAGTAGCACTGACTTCTCACTGCTATGGGAAGTATGACCAGATGTCTCAGGTCCTGCAAGGACTGGCTGAGCTAGACTTCAGTCAGTGCAGGTGAGACTCACCCTCCTTGGGTCTCTCTCCTCCTCTGGAGCCTGTAGTAGTGAAAGGACACCACAGAAGGGCTACTCTGTCTGAAACATCAGCTTTCTCCAGCCTGGGGCTCCCTAAGGCAGCCCTCCAAGCCCCTGTGCAGGCTCTGAGCAGGCAAAACAGGCAAGGAGGGAGGGAGGGCGCCATCCACCCACCCTGAGACCTGAAAGGACTCTGTTTTCCACAGCCTTCTCCAGCCTGTGTGAGATAAGTTTGATCTCAGGAGCTTGAGTTCTAAGCTGTGATCATTTTTAAAAAAAATACTGAAAGCCAAAAGAATTAGAAATAAACCTAAGCCCTTCTGGAGACTTAATAGTGTATACATGTTGCCAGCTCCCCTCTCCTACCCTGCAGCAAATGCACACAGCTGGTTTTAGCACCTTTCCTTGTGCCCTCAGACATGGCTGAGCACCGAATTAGGGCTTAGAGAGTTTGGGTGGATGCAGTCTCCTTGGTGGATGAGAATTCACCATCATCAAAAGGAGATTTCACCAACCCTGGTCAGTATAGCCGAGGGTCTTCTTTCCACCACAAGGCTTCCTCCCAGCAGGCACCTGAGGACCACGTGGGATATGGGGCCCAGCCTGTCACTTGTGCCTTCTGTCCTCACTCTCCAAGGGCAGAGTGGATTCTGTTCTGGGCAGTACTGTTCAGGATGCGCTCATTCTCTGATGGTAGCAGCACTACTGGGAGCAGCTACACACTGGCCTCTGCATTTTTAATAGTATCACGTTTTTAAACATTTAAATCCCAAGTCAGAGTCTCATTACAGTGGGTAAAAAAGAATCTTGTCAGATAAGCTGCCATTTCCTAACCGAAGAACTGAGTACACACAGCCATAGTGTTTTGTTATTTCAGTGATAACTCTACATACAATTTTCTATACCAAAGTATTAAAAAAATGTATAACAAGTTTTTCTTGAAGAAAACAAAGATGATTTCATTCTTATTGAACATATTTTTTACCCCCATGTTGTTTTTTAAAAACCATTATAACATTGCTTTCTTTAGCCCTAATGAAGCTTCTTTATTTGGATGGGTCCTAAATCCCCACTCTCAGATTTCTCTTTAAAAATTTGAACATCTTCATTAAAAAAATTATTTAAAAAAGCACTTGCAATTTGTTTAACTGGAGCTTGGCCTATATTTCTGAGTCTAACTATAAGATGAGAAGTTAATGTAAATAACCTGAGTTGTGATGAGACCGGTGAGGAGATAAGATGGGCTGAGCTGTGCCATCCTGTCCAAGCATGTTAGTAACTTTGTGCTCAAGCAAGTGTGATTCTCTATTGTCAATTCCACAAGAAATCTGGGGGTGGGTATGCTCTGGGGGTTGGAAGGAGAATGCATAAACCTGATTGCTGTGGAACATCCTCCAGGAACAGCCTCATGCACCAGAGCTGTGCTCCTGGGACAAGCATGAGCCCCTGGGCCCTCCTGAAGCTTTCTCTCTAGACCTATCAATCATCCTAAGAGACACTCCCTGTTGGAAGGCTGGCTGCGGCTGCTGTTGCTCTCTACTAACTGAAGAAATATTTATCGAACATCCCCTCTGTGTCAGGTACTGTTCTAGGCCCTAGGGAAGCACTGTGATAAGAACTAGAGTCCCTGCACTTGTGGAGCTTACATTTTAGAGGGAAGAGACAGACAACAAACAACACAAAAACAATCTGCTGAATGGTTAATGCAATGTTGAAAATTGAAACAGGTTAATGTAACAGACGGCTGTGTTTGGGGTCTGAAAATGGCTTCTATGGGGAAATGGCACTTCAACTGAACACTACTTGGCAGGGAGGAATGAGCCTTGGGAAAATAGGGGAAGAGCATGCCCGATAGAGGGGCACCAAGTGCGGAGGCTGTGCACAGATGAGGCTGTGTGTCTGTCACAGTCTGGTGAGAAGGCCAAGATGAGGTTCAAGAACTGCACAGGGGCCAGATCACACTGGGCTGTGCCATCTTGAAGGAGTGGTTTGGGTGTAATTCTAAATAGATTGTGAAGTTTCAAAGAGGATTAAGCAAAGAAGTGAGTTGATCTGTATGCTTTTAAAGGTAGTAGCACTGACTCCCGTATGGATGGATTTTAGGAAGCAAGTATAGAGACAGAGAGTAGAATAAGAAGCTATCACCAGAGACTCACCCCAGCAAAAGGTGAGGGTCTGATTTAGACTGATGATAGTGGAAATAAAAAAGTAGAATTCTGGGCTCTATGACTGTTTTGCTGATAGAATATGGCAGAAGCGGCACTTCCAGTTTCCAGGCCTAGGACTTAAGACACTAGCAGTTTCTACTTCAATCCCTTGGGACATTTACACTTGGAACTCAGTCACTATGCTTCAAGGAAGCCTTAGCAGCCTGTGGAGAGAAACTTTGTCCCCATCCCTGCAGGCCAGGCAACAGCCAGCTAAGCTTGCCAGCAGCTTGAATGAGTCATCTTGGAAATGGATTCAGCCCCCAAGCCAAGCTGCCCCAGCTGATGCTTCTTGAGCAGTCTTTGTGGAACCACACACAGAAATTACAGATTTGTGAACAAAACTAATGACTATCATTGCTTTAAGTTACTAGGTCGGGGGTGATTTCTTATGCAGTAATAGGACATTTGGGAAATGGGAAGAGATTGAGAGTTCTGTTTTGACCATTCTAAGTTCAAGGTACCTATTAACTGTCCAAGTGGAGAGTTCAAATAAGCAAGAGGTTATAAGAGGCCCCAGGAGAGCTCAGGTCTGGAATAAAAAATTTAATGTCATAGAATAAAGGAAACATATGAGATTTTCCCTAAATTAAGATTAAAAATAATTCTGCAATCTGTATTTGGGGTAAAATTGGGAGTTCATAACCAACTTGAATCTAATGTATGAAATATGATATGTCAATAGCTTTATAATGTTTTGAACAACCAATTAAAAAAAAAGATTAAAAATACAGTTGTGTTTCCCCCTAATCCCTTTCCCTAGTCAACTACAATCCTGAAATATTAAATAGAGAATTCCAAAAGTAATTCATAAGTTTGGAATAAATTTTATTACAATATATTGTTATAGTTGCTCTACTTTATTATTAGGTATTATTGTTACTATGCTTAATTTACAAAGTATACTTTGTCATAAGTATGCATGTATAGGAATGAATAGAGCATATATGGGGTTAGGTAATATCCACAGTCTCAGGCATCTGGGAACATCTTGTACCCCAAGGATAAGTGGGGATTACTGTGTGTAGATGAAAAAAGTCAGAGGAGCTCTGAATTCTGGGAGGACTCCCCCAGGTGGGCACAGGGACCAGAACTTTGAGGAGCTGCTTATCAAGTAAACAGAAAGAAGCCAAAGCTGAGCTTCCACCTTCCCTCCAAGTCGGCAAGTTCTGTGGGTATACTCCAAGTGGGGGCAGAATCTATACAAGTCCTTCCTTCCAGCTGTGGATACTGTTCTTTAGCCATTTACTGAAGTGCTGCATCTATGGATTTGGCAACATTTCCCTTGAGTTTCCCATGCTAATGAAAGAGTGTTTGCCTTTTCACACTAACGGATGATTATCTTCACTTCGGAAAATTGCTTCCTCTGAATCATCCTCTGGGCTGTTAAGTGTGTCTGTAGGCACTCACTGGATTTAGGTTTGCAGGTGATTTAAAAATGTCATGTGGTAACTTGGGAAAGTTGGTGGCTGCACAGCACAAAGCAAAGACTCACTTGCCCTCAACAGACCTTTGCAGGAAGATGTATCAAGGCTGTTGCCTGCTGCTGAATGCAGCTGCTAGTGGACCTGTACACTGGGAAACCCAGGGATCCCATGCTAGACCCAGCTGCAATCTTCTGAACCCACAGGAAATGCCTTTTACTAAGGCTGTCTGCATCTCTTATTCCTTCTTCACAGCAGAATGGGTTCTGAGAGCATTACCCAAGTCTACACATTTTTAGCCAGCATTTGAGAGGCAAATGGTTCAGCTGAGGCCTGAGAAAAGTGGTTCCTTATTAAGTGGAGGGAGCAGCCTGGTCCACCAGCGGGACAGGTCATCAGCTGTCTTAAAGCCAGACCCTGGGAGAAGCCGGGGAGGGGGCCCATCCACAGGAAATTAGAGGCCTTGATGGGACTTTCTTTCTGTGACCACCTCCCACTCCAGAAGCTCATGAGTCCAGCAGAGGGGTGACCTAATATTTGTGGTACACTGCCTCCTTCTTCTCAGGGCAGTCTTTATCAGCCTGCAAGAGACCATCCTCAGGGGACTCTTGGCCCTGCAAGGCTTCTCCTATGCCCTTAGACAGTGATTCAGCCATAAAGACATACCTACATGACAGGGCTGTCTTTCCAGAGAACACAGTAAGATCAAAATAGAATATGAAACCACTCTAATAGGCAGGTTGCTCTTATTGAATAAAAGGGTTATGAAGTAACCTTTTTGCTTCACTCCAAATGATGACATTAACTCAAAATTGCTGGTTTTCAGATTATCTCACAAGGGTAATGCAACTATTGTCCTTTGTTACTAATCATTGTTATATGTTTGCTCATTTATTCATTTATGTAACATATCTATTGAGGGCCTACTAAGTGCTAGGCATTGTAGGAGCTAGGGATAGAGCATCGAGCAAAATCAAGTCCCTGCCCTGGGGAATTTAGATTCCAGCATGGGTCAAGGGGACTGATAATAAACAAGTGAACATATAAATGTTCATGCACTCATTCAAGTCAAATAGTGACAGTGCTATAAAGGAAGTAGGATTAAAGGATACACAGTGAGAAGGGGGAGTGACTGTTTTAGGTAGGATGAGCTTATCACTGGTGTCACAAATCTAAGCCCTTTCCAGGACATCAGCTCCTCAAACTAAGCCTGGCAGCACAGACCCTGGCAATCTTCTTTACTCACCCAGCAAGAACTTGGCATTTCATGTCTCACCAGGCCCAACAAGGCGCCAAAGGGTGAACAAAAAAAAAATCCTAGAAAAGGCACCACCTAGTGGTTGTAAGATGGAGTTGACCTGTATTCAGTTGCTCATCCCTTTGCCTGGGAGCTCAAATGTCCACAATTCAAGATAAAATGTTACCTAGCAGGGCCTTGAGGACCAGGGCTATCATTCTGAGTGGTTACATATAGTTTGACACAGATTCTGGGGTGTATCTGTTTAGATCTTTCTGTTTCCTCTGCCTGGTCTAAAAACTAATGATCAAGGGGGAATTCATTGGTTTACATCATTTCAAATTATTCACACACACACACACACACACACACACACACACCCCATGTTCATTCACTCATTTTTATGGTCTAGGCACTAGAGTGTGTGTGTGTGTGTGTGTGTGTGTGTGTGTGTGTGTGTGTATATATATATATCCAAGATGGGAGGGAAGAAGTTGAAAGAATGATGGAAAAAATTACCCCTAAATTGTAATCATATATAATGTTTGAGCATGTGTAGCTCCAGGAGCTACTACTATACCCCTCTGACCTGGATTGTTCTCTGCTTCTACATTCTTTCCTAGGACAGAAGGATAATTCTGAGGCATAGTTTGAAGTTTTCAGTCTTTTCCTATAAAGTGCAGGAGATACACAAGCCTACCTCAAACCTGACCTTTGATGCTGGCTTTGCTTCATTACATTAGTTTTGAGTTTGAAAAACATTAATAGTTGCTGGGCAGGAACTGGAACCGATGCCACGGGGTAGGACAGAGCCCAGTGGTGTATGATGCAACCATGCACTGCAGAAGAGCACGGCCGCAAAGAGAAAAGCTTGTGGTGACGCTGGCCAGGACTGCTGTGCTGTGCTCACTCTTCATGGCCTTGTAGTGACCACAAATTCATAGTCATCACAGGTGCCAGCGCAGCTGCATGTATGTTCACCTGGTCATGATATAAAACTGTGGACAAGGAGGCAAGATGGTGTGACGGTGGCAAAGCAAGAACATGTGCCCAGGACCCTGATATTAGTTCCAGGTGACTTGGCTGGAGCTGCTTTTAGCAGCTGCCTCAGGTAATTCAACTGAAGTGTTGAGCAATGTGGGTATAATTGTAAGAGGCTGGGTAAACCTTCACTCAGGGCTCCCCAAGGAACTGGGGTGACTTGATAGTTCACTCACCCAATATCACCCCTCCCAGGATTCTTAGTGTGCTTTTCTGAGAGTGCATTCTGCTTATCACAATGAAATGTTCCTTCTCTAAGATTTAGGTTCTATCATGCTCATTCTTTCCAAGACTCCCATTATCTCCTCTGCAATACCTGGATTCATATCCTAGTTCTGCCTCTTATTAGTTATATGACCCTGTACAAGTTACTTAACATCTCTGTGCCTCAGCTTCATCATATGGTAAATAAAGATATTGAACACTTACCAGCTATGGCTATTGTGAGAATTAAATAAATTGATAAATGAAAAGCTCTTGAAACACTGTCTGGCATGTAGTAAGGGCTAAATAAATGTCAACTGTTATCATTATCATCACTAACTTCCGCTTCTTGACACTGGAGAAGTTCAACCCATGAACAATCCTTAAAGGGATCCATGTTCTATTGGTTTCTCCCATTCCACCAAAATAGCATGTCCTTTAGTTATAGGTTTTATAGTTTGTGCAACCCAGGGACAGAAGAGTGAGATCTTCAGCAGGAATGAAAGGCCACATGCCTGACTTGGGATCTCACACAAGACTTTCTGAAAACCTCCTGAACTATAATGTGAAATGAGCTCTTCTGGTCTCCTAAGACAGCTTCTGTAAAGACAGAATTGACATTCTTTCTCTCTCTCTCCCTCTTTCTCTCTCTCTCTCTCTCTCTCTCACATACACACACACACACATACACACACACACATGCACACACACTGTTCCATGTCCAACCCTCGCTTCATGTGCCTTCAGATACTATGTCCTGAGAAGAACAAAACATCACCTATACCATACTCATGCAGAGGATGGTGATCCATCTCCTTGTAGAGTCCAAAGTTACACATTCGCTAGTGCTGCCTCTTCTAAAGTTGATGTTTCTGGCATGGCCAAGTCCAACTTCTCACTCCAGGAAGGCCATTGCCTGGGGCTATAATGAAGACATTCACTTTAGTGGGATGCAAGTAATTTGCATGACCCACCGTGGTCAGTGGGACAAAGCCTTTTTCTGAGACATGAAGACACAGGCCTGGCCAAGGTAGGTCTGACCACTGTGCAGCATGTGCTTGGGAGAGCACAGAACTCCAAGTGCAATGTGCGATGTGAATTGCATCTTTATAAAATTCATGAATTGAAGGAGAGAAAAGCCAATAATTACACAGTAGCAAATTCAAGCAATACACTGATCTCATGATCAAGATTAGCATCTCTAATAAGGGACAGATGGATATCATGTGCCTCCAGATATGATGTCCTGAGAAGAGTAAAATATTACCTATACCATACTCATGCTAAGGATGTACAACCTCAATCTAAATAAAAGAAAATATCAATAAACATAAAACAAGGAATGCTCTGTTTAAAAAAGAGGAGGATTTTTGTTTAAAAAACATAAAAGGGGAGAGGAGTTAAAAACAAATAACTTGTATATCAATGATTACGCACATTTGTGCTTCACAAGACACCATTAATAAAAGGAAAAGGCAGCCTACAATGTGAGAAGAAACTGCAAATAATTTATCTCTCAAGGGACTCATTTCTAGAATATATAAAGAACCAATACAACTCAATAATAAAAAAGATAATTCAATTTAAAAATGAGCAAAGGATCTGACTAGATACTTCTCCAAAGAAGATAAACAAATGGCCAATAAAACCCTGAAAGATGCTCAGCAACATTAGCCATTAGGAAAAAATGCAAATCACAATGAGATGCCACCTCACTGCACTGGGAGGGCTGTCATCAAAATGATCAACAATAATAGCTGTCAGCTAGAATGTGGAGAATGTGAAGAGACCTTCATACTCCGCTACTGCAGGGGAAGGATGGTGCAACCACTTTGGAGAGCAGCCTGTTAGTTCCTCAAAGGGTTAAGTATAGAGCTACCATATGGCCCAGCAATTCTATTCCAAGAGAAATAAAAATGTATGTGTACAAAAAGGCTTATA